CTCCAGTATAAATCATCAAACCACATGCAACAGCAGAGGCCAAGGTTATCAGTCAGCTAGAGTGTGAGACTATTCTTGGCCAGCAATCTGACCTGCAGGGCTGGAATGTTCACGGACAGAGGAGGTTTTGCTAGGAAACTAAGACAGGAGGTAAAGGGGCAATGTATGGATTATTAGTCTGGCACCGAATAACAACCTTCCCTGATTCCTTCATCTGAACATCTAGTAGTAATTAAGAAAGAATCACATTTGAATACAAATTCTCATCCGCCTCCCTGCCTCTAAATAAATGGCCATGTGCTGAGAATAGGGGGTACCCACTCTCTCAGATGACACATCACACAGCCTTGGCATAGACGCATCTTTCCTCCGACCCCTGACCCATTCAATACTTTACCTCCAAACCTGCCTACCTGAGCCAAGGTTCAGGCCCTGTAAGGGCGTATGTAGAGCTGGTACCATTGGTAACGAAAGGCTAAGAGATCAGAGTGTCTATCCTGTGACCAGACTACTGATAAAATGAATTGCGTGAGATCAGCTAGCCAGGAGCACAGTCCAAAGAAGCCTCACCTCTCATACTCATCTCCAGCAGGGTAGAGGGGGTAAAAAGGCCTCAGGACCCCATGTTTTTGCCCCTCCTCCTCCCTTGCCTACTTCTTAAGTGTGGTGAGCAGAGTTGAGCTTGCACCCCTCCTCAGTTGTGCCCAGAATCATGTGGAGGGGTCTCTTGGTTTGGAGCACACTGGCAGCTCTTGCTTCTTCCTTCCTCCTCCCTGCCCCTGTCCCGTCCCCATTCCCCCACTCTGCAGGGTAGTGGGTCAGAAGGCCGGAGGTGAGGTATTGCATGGTGGACAGCTGAAGGTGTCATCTGCCCCAAGGCCAAACTAAGACAACCAGAGATCTGTCCCATGGGCTGAGATGAGGCCTGCAGGCAAAGCCTCAGGCCTGAGGTCAGCTTGCTGCTTTTGTGGCTGGGGCTTCCCACTCCCGAGGTACTTCTAGAAGTCCTGCTGCTAGCCCAAGAGCTGCAGAGGTTCTGTGGCTGCCCAATTCAGCCCTGCATCTGCAAGGCCTGCCTTCACCAGCAGGGTGTGTCTGCCTGTTTTAATCAGCGCTTTGGATGGGCCCTGAAGTCCTGATGCAACTGGAGACCACCCCATCTCCAGAGGCTGGTGGATGCTCAATCCTGGGCTTCGGGCTGCATCCTTTCCTTGACCCCTTCCTCTGTTGGGCCTCCAGCTGCAATGGGCCCAGCCTTTCCTTGGTACTGGAACTAGGGGTGTGATAAGCAGCCTGTGTTCTCCATAGGCACCAATGCCAGGACACCTACCCCAATTCCAGCTGGTCAAGAAGCTACCCTAATCGATCCCCAGTCCACAGCTAGACCCCGAGATCTGACTCTGCCAGTCCTGTGCCATGTGTATTTGGGATATAGGATAACCATCACTGAGCACCACACCGTGCTCAGGTCGGGGCAGGAGGGTAAGGGTGGGAAGCAGCACCAATCTAAGCCCCAGTGCCTTCCTATCTCTGTAGAATGAACGAGGGTCTGTTCTGGGTTTTGAGAATATTGTGAGCAACGGAACCTCCCTGCACTTAAAGCACCCGGAATACTCACGGCCTGCATGAGAACACCCATGTGCTGTGGCTGTCACTGAAGCCTGCACACCCAGTGTGCACTGCAATGGTTTTGTCAGGCAGTATGACTGGTGGGGGCCCCAGGCCTGGCACAGCCAGCCATTGGCACTCTGGTATCAACATTGATCTTGCCCTCCCTGTGCAGCCTGTAACTGTACACTCCCCACCCTCCCTATCCCAACATATACCAGCTTCTCCTTCTTTAATGGGTACATTCACATCAGGCGGCTTTTCTGTCTTCAGGGTGCTGGCAGTCCCATGTGGGAAGCAGAGGGGCAAAGGTCATTGGGTTGGGAGGTGATGGTCACCACTCTGACATACAAAGCATGCAGGCTCCTTGAGAGAACAGGGGCAGCACCTGCCAGACCCCAGCACTCCCTGGGAACAAGAACATTGCCAGCCTCTGACGACTCTTGTCCCCTTCTGGTTTCAGGCCTTTCCAGCCAGTACCAGCTTCTATCAAAGCAGGTAAGATTAGTAAGGAGGAAAGTTTTCTGCAGAAGATAACCTCTGTGGCTGAGCTCTAACCTTCACTTCCGGCATAGATCCTCCCATTTGCTCGACTCACAACTCTGGTTATGCCCTGCTAAATGTGACAAGGTCAGGAATGGAAGCTCTGGTCTCATTCCCTTAGGCAAAGTTGGGTCTCCCCCTGGATGACACATATTCCTTCCTTCATGTTCTCCACTTCAGGTTTCTTTGGGTCTGGAGCTGATAAAAACAGCAGTTCTCGGCTGGGTGCGGTGGCTCACACCTGAAACCCCAGTACTTTGGGAGGCTGAGGTGGGCAGATCACCTGAGGTCAGGAGTTTGAGACCAGCCTGACCAACATGGTGAAACCCCGTCTCTACTAAAAATAGAAAAATTAGCCAGGTGTGGTGGTGCACACCTGTAATCCCAGCTACTTAGGAGGCTGAGGCAGGAGAATTGCTTGAACCCAGGAGCAGAGGTTGCAGTGAACGGAGATTGTGCCACTGCACTCCAGCCCAGGTGACAGAGTGAGACTCTGTATCCCCCTACCCCCACCCAAAAAAGAAAGCAGTTATCACCATTACTGGTGGGACACTCCAGAGGTGATCCTGCTACTGGGCAAGGAAAGTGTACTTAGAAAGCCAGAGTGGAGGGGCGTGGTGGCTCATGCCTGTAATACCAGCACATTGGGAGGCCAAGGTGGGAGGATCATGAAGTCAAAAGATTGAGACCTTGGGAGGCCGAGGCAGGTGGATCACAAGGTCAAGAGATCGAGACCATCCTGGTCAAAATGGTGAAACCCCGTCTCTACTAAAAATACAAAAAATTAGCTGGG